AAAAGGAAAAAGAAGTGGAAGAAACTCTTTACCACTTTTGAGTTTGTCAGCCCATACTTCAATAATTAACAGAAGTTTCTGCAGTTATCCCCATTTATTTTAGAAAGATCATAATTTTTGTGGGTATTTTTGTCACAGAGGGGACAATTCAATGTTGGACAAAGCATTACATCTCTTTCGCACAAAGCCAAGAAACAAATTTAATAACATAGGAAGTCTGGGTAAACAACTTAATGTCCTGACAGTTATTATTAGATTTCTTCTCAAGACAGATCTACAATATTTATTTAGTGTATGTCCCCTCCGTGACAGCTTTTTTGGTAGCAAGGTTAATTTATGATAATTTATGACACAGAATTACAGTGCTGACATCTCAAAAGTATCATTTTATACAAATTAGGCATTTAACCAGTACAGAAATAGTGCTTAATAGACCTTTTAGTCAATTTTATTTCTTAAAGCTTTATGTCCAAAATACTGTGGAAGTACCCGATTTCAGTTCAGTTACATGCTGGTTGTAGCCTTTACGATACATGATCGACAAGTTTATCACGGTTTTGTTTATCATTTTTGTCGATTTTTTCCAGATTTTTCTTGGGGCAAATTTTGTCAGTAGTGCATTTGAAGATTTGTCTACTTCGGCCAAAATTTGTCGAGTTGCAACAAACCATCGGCACTCATAAATGTTGGTGATGTTGGTGATGACAGACAATTTGTCTAAATAAACAACTTTTTCGCCAGTGCGAAAAGGCCCTATTACTCAGAAGGAAATCTCAGAAAAAGTTTTGCAATTAGAGTTAACAACTAATTGTTCATTATGATCGATAGACTTAAAAGACAAAATTTAATTCTCGCTATAAAGATAACCTGATTTTTTTTCTTGAAGTACATCAACATTTCCTCATGCAAAACAAACCATCTTGTCTTCCAGTTGTGACGAACATGGCCCTTTGAAGAGTACAAAAGATACAATACATGTTGTTAATGGCGACAACCCCGACTGAGTGAACACAACACAAGCTTGGTGATCCCAAGGAGGGGTACGAATTAAAGAACATCTCTAACAGTTAACAACAACGCAAAAGATTTCATCGATTACAATATCGAAAAAAATATCTCTGCCCTTTGAATTTAAATTCAACGTAAGACAATATTTTGATAGGTCCCTTTAATAGATTTTCCGGTGCGATATTTGCGGCTGGAAATTTTTTTGCGGCGTTTGGCGTGATTTATTTTGAAACATGCGTACCTTTTTCACAAGGAAACCCTCCTTTAATTTCCTTGGTTCCCTGGAATCCATGTTAAGTTTCCGCCGAGTTCAATCTCAAAGTGTCGCAATATCTACAAATGTTTCCGAGTAGACACCGATCTTTGGAAGATGTCGTGACGAGAATTATGTTCGTGACAATTCTCAAGGAGGCCATTCACCTCTGACCCTCAATAAAATGTTTTAGCAAGCGGCTTCCTTCAAGCATCGACCACATAAACTAAGAAAACGCTGAAAACTGAAGCATCTCTCTCGATGCATCTCTTAAGCAAAATGCGAAATCTGAAGCGAACCAAAACTGCAAACCACAAAATGTGATAGGCGCATAAAATCTCTTTGCATATTTACCTTGGCTTTGTGACCAGGCTTTCAAAATGGCGGACAAAAATAGGAAGTGACCTGCACTTTACGAAGCTACAAATTAAAGTCTCTTACGATGGCTAACGATAAACCAGCGGTTCCTGTGAAGAGAACTGTGATTGTGTTGGATCACAGTTCTAAATTTCTGACGTTGTCCAAGCAGCATATTGACTTTGATGGTGGTGGGAAAAAAAGCAAGAACAAAGGTTCCAACTCGATGTCTTCTCCTGTTTTCAAGAGCTCTTGGACATGCAGTATTGAAGCGGCAGTCGAGTACTGTAGAATTGTGTATGATATATTCCCCAATGAGTATCTTGTAAGTCTGGTCACATTTTATATTTCGTACTTCATTGATCTGTGCGTAATTTCCGCTTGAAGTAAACTTACTGTAATTTACGTTAAAGGGATAGGAAGTGATATTTTTCATCCTCTTTTAAGGTCAAGGTAGTTGTTTCTGATGATAATGCTCACGTGATGAACTCTTGGTCTCATGAACAGCAGTGTGTTCCACAGGTAAGGTTGATATCAAATTGCATTTAAAGCTCATAACACTTAGCATTTAAGGTTCAAAATCTTGTTGTTAAAAAGACAATGGGAGACACCATGGCCTTATGGCTGGTGTACTGGACTCGGGCTTGGGAGGTCTGGGTTCGAGACCTGACTGGGTCAAAGTGTTGTGTTCTTGGGCAAAACACTTTACTCTCACAGTGCCTCTCCCCCCCCCCCC